CTAATTTCAGAACATTTTTATCCCCCCCCCAAAAGAAACCCCATAGCCATCAAAGGCACTCACCATTTCCATCTCTATCATCTGCTCTCCCTCCCTGCAGCCCCTGGCAACCACTAACCTATATTCTTTCTTTACCTTTCATATAAATGGAATCATATGACATACAGTCTTTTGTGTCTGACTTTTTTTCACTTAGCATAATGTTTTCAAGGTTCATTTACTTTGTAGCATATGCCAGTATCCCATTCATTTTTATTGCTTTTCACATTGTATGAAAAGACCACATTTTCTTTATTCATTCATCAGTTAATTGACATTTTTTACTATTATGACTAATGCTGCTATGAACATTCATGTGCATACTTCTTAGTAGACATGTTTTCTTTTTTATTATTGACAGTATTACAGATGTCCCCCTCTTTCACCCACCGACCCAGCCCCCGGCCCCACCCCAGGTTTTCACCACATTATTGTCTATGTCCACGGGCTATGCATACATGCATATTTCTTCTTTGGTTAATCTTTCCCGCCCATCCCTCCCCCACAAGCTCTTCCCATCTGAGATCTTCCATGTATACATGTCTCTGGACCTATTTTGATCATCAGATTCTTTTGTTAGATTCCACATATAAGTGAGATCATGTGATATTTGTCTTTCTCTGACCGGCTTATTTCACTTGGTATAATAATCTCCAGGTCGACCCATGCTGTCTCCAAGGGTAAGCGATCCTTCTCTTTTACAGCTGCATAGTATTATATTATATAATGTATCACAGCTTTTTTTTTATCTACTCATCTACTGATGGTTACTTGGGTTGTTTTCCAGATTTTAGCTATTGCACTGCTATGAACATGGGGGTGCATATATTCTTTCTGATCGGTGTTTCAGGATTCTTAGGATATATTCCCAGAAGTGGGATCACTGGGTCAAATGGCAGCTCCATTTTTAATTTTTTGAGGAAACTCCATACTTTTCCCACAGTGGCTGCACCAGTCTGCATTCCCATCAGCAGTGGACTAGGGTTCCCTTTTCTCCACACCCTCACCAGCACTTGTTGCTTGTTAATTGATTGATTTTTGATTAAATTTATTAGAATGACATTGGTTAATAGGATCATATAAGTTTCAGATGTAGGTTTCTATGACACAAGATTTGTATATTGTACTGTGTGTCCACCACCCAAAGTCAAATCTCCTGTCACCATATATTAGGCCTCATTCATCCCCCAGTCCTCACCCAATTCCTTTGGCAACTCCCACACTGCTGTTTATGTCCAAGAGTTTCAGTTTTATATCCCACATATGAAAGAAATCATTTGGTTCTTAGCTTTTTCTGACTGACTTATTTTACTTAGCATAATATTATCAAGATTCATCCATGTTGTTGCAAATGGCAGTATTTTGTCTTTTCTTACGGTTGAGTAGCATTCCATTGTGTATATGTACCATATCTTTATCCAATCCTCTATCACAGGACACTTTGGTTATGTCTATGTCCTGACCACCATGAATACTGCTGCAACAAACCTAGGGGTGCACATATCCTTTAGAATACATGTTTTCGAGGTTTTTTTTTGGGGGGGGGGATAGATACCCAGGAGAGGGATTGCTGGGTCATATGGTAACTCTATTCTTAATTTTTTTTGAGGAATCACCAGACTGTTTTCCATAGTGGCTATACCAGTCTACATTCCCACTAGCAGTGAATGAGGGTTCCATTTTCTCCACAACCTCTCCAACACTTTTTATTACTTGTCTTGTTGATAACAGCCATTCTAACAGGTGTGAGGTGCTCTCTCATTGTAGTTTTGATCTGCATTTTCCTAATTACTAATGAGGTTGAACAACTTTTTATATATCTGTTGGCCATTTGTATGTCTTCTTGGGAGAGGTGTTCAGGTCCCCATTTTTAATTGGGTTGTTTGGTGTTCAATTTTATGAGATCTTTATATATTTTGGATATTAAACCTTTGAGCTATCATTGTTTGCAAACATCATCTCTCATTTGGTTGGCTGCCTCTTTGTTTTGTTGTTGGTTTCTTTTGCTGTGCAGAAGCTTTTTAGTTTGATATAGTCCCATTCATTTATTTTTGCCTTTACTTTCCTTGCCTTTGGGGTCAAATTCACAAAATGTTCTCTACAACCAAGGTCAGTAAGTTTAGTAACTACGTGTTCTTCTATGTAATTTATTGTTCCAGATCTTATATTTAGGTCTTAGCTCTATTTTGAATTAACTTTTGTACATGAGGTTAAACTGCAATCTAGTTTCATTTTTTTTGCATGTGGCTTTTCAGTTTTCCCAGCAGCATTTATTGAAGAGGCTTTCTTTACTCCATTGTGTGTTTCTGGCTCATTTGTCAAAAAGTATCTATCCATATAGGTGTGGTTTTATATCTGGGCTCTCAATTCTGTTTCTTTGGTCTCTGTGTGTGTTTTTCTGCCAATACCATGCTGTTTTGATTACCATTGCTCTGTAGTATAATTAGAAGTCAGGTTGTGTGATACCTCTGGCTTCGTTCTTTTTTTTTTTTCCTCTCAGGATTGCTTTGGCCATTCAGGGTCTTTTGTGGTTCCATACAAATCTGATGATTTTTTTGGTCCTATTTCTTTAAAAAATGATATTGGGATTTTTATTGCATTAAATCTGTATATTGCTTTTGGGTAATATGGCCACTTTAACTATGTTGATTATTCCAATCCATGAAGGAAATGATTATGGGTATGTCTTAGTACAGTATACAACCAATGAAGTATTATCTCAACCCATGAGCATGTCATTCATTCAGTCATTTATTCAATAAACATTCATTGAGCATTTGCTATGTTATAGGTTCAGGATACTAGACTCTGGGGAATAACAAATGACTACTTTTTCTGCTCTGAACGGATTTAGGGGCTGAAAGAAATCTGTTAAAAATTATTTTTAATCTCAGTAACATATTTAGATGCTATCAAAACTACCCCAGCTATCCTTCTCAACACCCCACCTCCCCACCACACTGCTACTACCCCAAACTCCAGGCTGGGCCTGGCTTTCCGACGAAGTAGGGAGACCAAACAGACACGATAAAAGACATGGTTTCATAGGTAGCTTCTGGAAGGCAGGCTTGATATTCAAAGCAGGCTATTTAAAACAGTAATTCTTATAAATAGGGGTTTTCACATTACTTACAATACGTACTTTTTACTTTTCTCCTCCTTCCTCCCCAAATGTATACTTTTCACTTCAAAAGGACAGCCTGTGTGCATAGACACAGGTAAAGTCTATGAGTGAACTAAGAATGAACAAGACAAATGCTTGCCTTCACAGAGCTCGCACTGTAAGAAGGTTAGGTCAGGGATGAGAATTCAAAATTGCCAACAGCACAGACCTGAGGTGCCTCTTCTCAGAGCGGTCAGGGTAACTGACTGGGGGCGTGACTGAAGGGCTGGCGCCAACATGAAGGAGGGGCCGGTCTGGATTTCCCAGAGGAACCAATGGCTGCCTAGGAGGAGGAGCTTTTGACGCTGACTGGCATAGAAACCGACTAATCAGAACCTAATCTGGGTGAACTGCGAAGGCAGAACCTAAGGTGGAGGCTGAGGAGGGGTTTTAAGGGCAACAGCTGTTTGGTGTAAGGTGTGAGAAAGCCGTTCAATTTTTTAATAACTGGTTTGGCAGTATAGTGCATATGACTGGCTATCAGTCCAGATACAGGGGTTATATATTTTTTATCTGCCAAGAGCATCTCCTCCTGCTGAAAAATGCTCCCTTTGGTCTCTTTGTCTTTCCTATATCCCAGTCTTTTATCTTTTATCTGGAGTTAATCATTAGATCTTATTGGGTCTTCCTCCCCAAATCCTCTCAAGAAATAATATTAGTTTTCCCCTAATAGCTGTAGAGTTGTAGAAAAGATAACAAAAACATGAGCTCTTTTCTGATGGTTAAATGTTAAGACAGAGTTGCATCAGGATTACAAGAATAGGCTTTGAAGTTCAACCTCTGTTCCAATCCTGTTCCTATCGCTGCTACCTGTGTCACCTTGGAAAAATAACTCTCTAGTGCTTTTTCTCCAACTACAAAAGTGGGAACCTAACATGAAACAACCTTCCTGGGTTGTTTAGTTAAATAACTAGTATCCATAAAGCACTTAACACCAACTGCAAGTGCTTAATAAAGAGTTGTTATTAATATAATAAATACAGAAGTACTTATTATTTTTTAAATAATAAATTTTAAAAAGTTTATAGTTTACAAAACCTGTGTACCTACACCTTTTCATTTAATATTCACAAAAATCCTGAGAGGCAGACAATATCCCCATTTTAGAGATGGGGACACCTAAGAAAAGAGAGATGGTAACAGAAATGGAATTTCTAGAGCTCTCCTGCAGAGAGTGAATACCTAGTTACTGGAGGTTCTAGCAAGACTACCCTGTTACCTATCATGATAGATGTAGCAGATCTCCCAGCTTTTGGAACAGTGATTGATCTAGGACTAGGTGATTTCTGAGGTCCTGTACTTGGTCACTTATTCACACATACAATATCTTCTTCTTCTTCTTCTTTTTTTTTTTTCCAGAAACTGTTCAGAGATCTAGTGGTAGAGCATAAACAAACAAGCAAAAAAAACAAACAAACAAACAAAAAATACACAACAAAACAAAACAAAACAAAACAAAAAAACCCAAAATCTCTGCCTAAAAATATACTAACATATAAAATACCATGTATAGGACATATAATATAAAAAATAGAAAAATTAAATATGAAAATATGTAGCCTGATTTTATTTTACACACCCTCCATCTAAGTACTCATTAACTCCCACCCTCCTTTCCAGCCCTCTCCCCAAATGTAAAGTATCAAGAACTAGAACTTTCTGTTTCAGTTTGTGTGCCACGCCCTCAAGGTTTATTGGAAGCTCGAAATCCAGAAAAGTGAGTGGGTGGGGCCTTGGAAGTTCCTGAAGGTGGAAGGAGAGGCGGCGGAACTGTGTTGCGAGGGTTGTGTTTCTCAGTGGGAAGCCAATTCTGGGGACCGGTAGTGGAAGCTCTGAAGCTTGGTTCCGGCCACCTCAGCAGGAAGCGGAGACGCCAGCAGCTGGGTCTCCGGGAACTGAGAGAGAGACCTAACTGTGGTGGCGGCGGAGGAAACCCAGAGGACGCCGACTGCCGGGCGGCCCAGCGTGGGGTTCCTGTAACCTGCGAAGATGTTGTTGCTCACGATGATCGCCCGAGTGGCGGACGGGCTCCCGCTGGCCGCCTCGATACAGGAGGACGAACAGGTGAGCTACCGGCTCCCCGCGACCCCAAGTCCCTGCCGGGGGTGGGCTGTGCTCTCAGCACTTGGTTTCTTCTCAGGACGCGGGAGACCCCTGTGACTTCCCGGACACTCCGGTCCTCTCTGAAGTGCTTTTTTTTTACCTTTTGGCTTTGGAGAGACGACCTGTTAGAAGAAATCTGCTCTGAAGGCGGAGGTGGATTTGGGGGTTACCTGTTTCTCTTGCAACGAGCAGACAGAACGCCCTGGAGAAGGGAGTGGTTCCGCTGATGGGGGTCCCCCAGTGCCATTCTTGGGGGACTTGGTTAAAATCCAGGACGTCTAAGTTTTGGCTGCTGCTAAGGTTGACCGACAGGCCCTGGGTTACACCAGCTCCCGGATTCTTCAGCTCCAGCACCTGATCCTTGCCCTCGCTCGCCGATATCTTTTGAAAGCGGGTGAGGTGGTATTGCCACATAGAGGCACCTGTCTGAAGTTCAGTTCCGCACCTTCTGTCAAGGTTATGCCCAATCCCCGCCTCCTTCTATAGATTCTTACCGTTGGAGGTATAGCCCCTGGGTTATCTTCCTGTTGCGCTTTCTGCCTTCACCTTACTATTTTTCTTTGCCTTTTCGTAGAGTTTCCTAGCAGGCAAATGGCAGATCTTAGCCATCTTTGTGTTTGTGATCGCTTTTACAACAGCAGCTTTATGCTACTAAGTGCTCAAGAAGGTATTGGATTGATGAAAAAACAACAACAACCCAGACATCTTGAAAAGGAGCTCCTTTGTGCCTTAGACGCACAAGGGAAAGTTTTTGGTGTGAAGCAAGTTTCTAGAGCAAGGTTGGGAGGTCTCTGAAGAAGGGAGGCTGAGAATGAACTGTTTATAACACGTTTAAAGTAACCAATTTCATCCTACTTTCTCATACAACCTAAGTAGCTTTTGGACGAAAACTTCAAGGCTTAAAAATAAGACGAGTTGTAGGGGGGAAAAATGTTTGCACGTATCTTTTCTTGGACTTTTTGTTCATATATTCGTGAAAAATAAATTATGAAGCACACCCAATGTGCCAAACCTGGTGCTAATGCAGGGGATTAGCGCACACAGTCCCCACTTTCCTGGGACTTAGAGTTTGGTGGAAAAGTCAGACAAGTAACAATTATAACGGAGTGTACCTGCTGTGGACGAGGACGAAGGTTTGGTTAAACATGAAAAGGTATGGTCTCTACGTTGAGTCGGGGAGATCAGGAAACTCTTCCCAGAAGAAATGACATTTAAACTGACAGCAGCGTCTGGTAATAAGGGAGGCTTCTCTTTGGTTGTATGCATTTTTAGGTTTGATATAGAAATGTGTTTACTTCCACTTTTAGAAGAACAGTGATACAGATTTTGAAGTTGCAGGTCATGCCAAGTGAAATGTTTTCTGTTCATTCAACAAAACAAGTTTAAACATTGATATAAAATGTGAAAAAAAATGGAGCATGCCCTGAATTTTAAATTGTGAAATATTTTTCTCTTTTCCAATTTGTTAAGATTTTCTAGGAACACTCTGCAGAAGGAGTGGAAGTTTTAAATGGAGCATGATTTGGAAGAGTGGGATGGTGTGGCGAAATACTCTTTAAAGGATGTGTCTTTTGACTGAGAAATAGTTTTCTCAAAGTGGGGGAAATCTGGTCAGCTTTCCAGCTATTGCATTGAATTCCAATGTGGGCAAAGAATACAAAATGGATTTGAAGTTAAATTAATATTAGTAGGCTCCGACTCCCTACCTTGATACTTTATTGAAAAATTGACATACTATTGTGTGTTTCTTAATTTAATGACAGATTAGGTATCCATCTACCAAAATGGGTTGCTTTGTTCAATTGACAATCACAATATTTTTTGTGATTGTAATCCCATGGTGATTTCCTTTAGAAATGTTGACTTTGAATGATAAAGCATTAAACTTTTATTACCAGCAAAAATATCAATTGTAGACTAATTTTTACCATTACAATAGTATACAGAATATTTATAGAATGCTGACTACATTCTATGCACTGTGCTAAGCCTGTTAAGTGCATAATATCATGCAATTTTAACAGCAATAGATACAGTTATTATCCCCATTTCTAGATAAGGACGCTCTGAAATTTAGGATGGATCTCTTGAGTAAAGTCACATAGCTTATAAGTAGCACAACCAAAATTTTTTTTTCTTTTTTTTAATCCTCACCCAACGACATGCTTAGAGAGAGGAGGGGGTGGAAGAGAGAGAGAAACATGGATTGATTGGCTTCTGTACATTTCCTGACTAGGGATAGAACCACACCCAGGTATGTGCTCTGACTGGGAATTGAACCGGCAATCCTACAGTGCACAGGACAGTGCTCAACCAACTGAGCCACTCTGGCTGGGCACAATGCAATTTTTTATCCGGGTTTCGTAACTTTAGCACTGTTGACATTTTGGGATGGAGAATTCTTTGTTGCGGGAAACTGTCCTGTGCATTGTAGGATGTCTAGCAGCATCCGTGCTCTCTACACCTTAGATGCCAGTAGCACTACCTCCGGCCTCCCTCCAGTTGTGACAACCGAGAATGTTTGCAGACATTGCCAGATGTCCTGGGTGGGGGGTGGCGGTTGGGGCAAAATCAACCCTGCTTTGGAACCCTGGTTTTTAATCAATATCTGACTCCAGACTAGAGCCTTCGTATCTACCCACCACACTAAATTTACAACCTTGTGCTATGACTTTTTAATAATGTATTTACATCTTAGGAGTCCAGAAATAATTTTTTAAGAAATGGATATCTCTACCAAATACTTTTATAGTAAGTATCTTAATTGTCCAGGTCAAATAATTCAATGTACCTTTTCAAGTATTTACACTGATAAAATAGAACATATTTTAAGTAGTTACTAGGTGCTAGTCCCTGTACAAGCTGTATTATTACTGCAGTTGAATGGTTATTCAGATAATACAATAGAGAGTAAAATAAAAAAATATCAGCAGATTGTCTTATGCATTGTTTCCTCTGTGCTTAACTAGAAGCGTAGGTCTAGGGCCGTGGCCGGCAAACCGTGGCTCGCGAGCCACATGCGGCTCTTTGGCCCCTTGAGTGTGGCTCTTCCACAAAATACCGGCTCTTCCACAAAATACCGACTTCTGCTCATGGGCCACGAAGTTTCAATCGCACTGTATGTGCGCTCCTGCACGTGGTATTTTGTGGGAGAGCTACACTCAAGGGGCCAGAGAGCCGCATGTGGCTCTCGAGCCGCAGTTTGCCGACCATGGGTCTAGGGCAATAGAGAGATGAACTTTTCTTTTCAATCCTAGAGTCCCTAACTGATAATCTATTTTTTCTTTCTTCCATTCGCTGTTTCTCCTTTTCAGGTGTTTGCTGTTTTTTCACCTACCTTTCTGTTCTACCTCAAAATGAAACATACTCTCTTCTCTTTCATTTTGCCCCAGCTCTGTGGACTTGAAGAGCTAACCTAGTAGGCAACAGATAGCTCCAAAAAAAGCATAGTCTGTTTAGAGTTGAATGAGTTTTGATTAATTACCTTACTGTAATTAAGAGGAAAATGGTTGGTTTTGGTGCTTCTGGCCTTTGACCAGTTGAGCTCATCAGGAATTTAAAAATGGTAAGCGTTTATCTAAACATTCTGCAAAGGCAAAAGATGGCATTTGATACAACTAGTTGTTCAGCAGTCCTAGTGACACCAATGGAAATTATTGCAGTTGTTTGGCCAATTACTACCCTGTACTTTTTATATTATATACAGAACCACATCCTAAATATGCTACTGGATGAACTCAGATTAGTTTCAGAATTTTTCAGACATTCACATCCTCTCCATTATTGGATTACTAGCAGATACCTTTCCTTATAGTGTATAAAAGGTTCAAGTCCATTTTAGATAAAGTAGGAAACAGAATTAAGATAGCTAATCTAATTATTTTTAGGTAGACTTTAATCTTGAAAGCAAACAGGGTTTATCTTTAACATAAGTTGTGCTTATGTTGTGAGACCTAGATTTAAGCTGCCACATGGTATCTTGAACACTTTCTATGAATTTGACTTAATATTAAATGGTAAAACATGACCTGGATGGTGTATCTGCTATTGCTGCAGCAGTTTTAATTGAAGAGGTGGTATAGCATGCTTAGGAGCAGGAACTCGGAGCTAGACTGCTTGGGCTCAAATGCTAGCCCCTTTTCTTCTTGACCCCAAGCCCTTGAGCAAGTTTGACTTGTCAGATATAAAATAAACTTTAAGGTGCTCATCTGCCTTTAGCTGTCAAAAAACTTAACATCTGTGGTTGTGGGTATCTTTAAAAATAGCAGTGTATGAGCTCTGTGTGCAAGATCCTGATTTAATTCGTTTCGGGGTGGAGATTGTGTATGAGTATTTTTTTTAAAGATCTCCAGGTGATTTTATTGTAAAGCCAAGGTTAAAAAGCATTAATCTACATTAATATTATTTCTTGGCACTTTAGTAGCGTTTCCAACTTTACTTGCATTCTTTTTATCTATTGTTGTGGGGTCAGAACTCTTCTGAATGCTACATAAGGGCATGGGGAAGCAAACAGATTGGCAAATACCATTCAAACCTAGGAACCTAGGGTATTGTTCACTAGTTCAAAGCATGTGATAGTGTTCAGTCTCCTTTATTGGCTGACCAGTCATGAAAAAAAATTTTTATATATATATACAAAGTGTCCCAAAAAATGTATACACACCTGAACAGCTGATAGCTCAATTTTGAAAATGAAATGTATTTTAATAAACACTGCCTTTATAATTATTTAAAGTGTGTGTATACATTTTTTTGGACACCCTATACACACAAACACACACACACACACACGCAATATTGTTTAATGATAGTATATAATGTTAATTATTTCAAAGTGTTAATATATAAAACTATATATACATACATACACACACATGTACATGCATATATATACATTTATATGTGTTGATATAGAAATATTTCTCAAGTGAATAGCATTATAACAAATCATTGCCATAAAGACAGTGCTGAACAAGATAAATATACAAATTGATAGTTCTAGTGGTCTCTGCCTAACTCCCAGGTTCACTTGTTTACTTTCATATTTAATTGTTCAGTTTACCATTTTATTCTCATTTATTTTATTTTTTAATTGAGGTATAATTGACCTGTAACATATTAGTTCCAGGTATACAACATAATGATTTGATATTTGTATACACTGTGAAATGGTCACCACAATAAATCTAGGTACCATCCATCACCATACATAGTTACTTTTTTAAAAATATATTTTATTGATTTTTTACAGAGAGGAAGGGAGAGGGACAGAGAGTTAGAAATATCGATGAGAGAGAAACATCGATCAGCTGCCTCCTGCACAAGGGGATGTGCCCGCAACCAAGGTACATGCCCTCGACTGGAATCGAACCCGGGACCCTTCAGTCCGCAGGCCGACGCTCTATCCACTGAGCCAAGCTGATCAGGGCCATAGTTACTTTTTTTTCTTGTAATGTGGACATTTAAAATTTACTCTCAGAAACTTTCAAATATGCAGCACAATGATATTAATATTAGTCGTCATGCTGTATGTTAGATCCACATGACTTATTTATTTTATAACTGGAAGTTTGTAACTTTTAATCACTTTCATCCGTTTTGACTCACTACTCCCTCTTCCCCCTGGCAACCACCAATCTGTTCTCTGCATCTGTGATTTTGGTTTTTTGTTTTGTTTTGTTTGTTTTGTTTTTTAGATTTCACATATAAGTGAGGTCATACAGTATTTCTTTCTCTGACTCACTTAATGTAATGGCCCTCAAAGTCCATCCATGATGTCACAAATGGTAAGATTCCATTTTCTTAATGGCTGAATAGTATTCTGTGTATGTATACCACATCTTCTTTATCCTTTCATCCATTGATGGACACTTAGGTTGTTTCCATATCTCGGCTATTGTAAATAATGCTGCAATGAATATTAGGGGTGCATATATCCTTTCTGATTGGTGTTTCTTTTCTTTGAATAACTACCCAGAAGTGGGATTGCTGCATCATATGACAGTTCTATTTTTAATTTTTTGAGGAACCTCCATACTGTTTTCATAGTGGCTGCACCATTATATATTATCATTAAACAATATTGCACATACATTTACATTCCCACAGTGAATGAGTGTTCCCTTTTCTCAATATTCTTACCAACACTTGTTATTTCTTGTCTTTTTGATATTAGCCATTCTGGCAGGTGTCAGGTGGTATCTCATTGTGGTTTTGATTTGCATTTTCAATTCACCATTTTAAATATAGCTATACTTACTTGTACATTGCTTATCTGCCATTGAAATAATTTTTATTGCTTCCTCGTTTTTACTCTTAGCTCAGCATTTTACTATATAGAATTTTAAGATTTTACTTTGTTCTTTCTCAATACTCAACCTCAGATCCAGACTGATAACAATACTCTAACCACTGAGCATACTGGCCAGGGCTGGAAAATTCTTAAATGAAGGTGTCTTCTTTCAGGCTTTTCGGGACCTTCAAAAGTACCAGAGTCAGGCTAAGCAACTCTTTCGAAAATTGAACGAGCAATCCCCTACCAGATGTACTTTGGAAGCTGACACCATGAGTTTTCAGTGAGTATAATCCTGATTTCTTTGTGATCATTTAAGTATGAAATACAGTAAATGTAAGTAACATGTGATGAGAATAATTTTTTAAAAGTAAGATAACTTTAAAAGTGTAGTCTCTTCATGAAGCCACTTCCCTAGCTCTAATTCTGCAAAACTGAAATCTTGGTTTGTTTATTCAACTTGTGTCTAGTGAATGCTATACCTGTCATGCAATAATAGATCGCTTTTGCTTTAGGAACTTCATAGAACCAGACACATTCAGGTTAGTACCATGCTCAAACATCTGTACATATATATAAAAGGCTGAGTGTCTATCCTTCCCCATGACTGTTAGCTATGACGCACACTGACCACTAGGGGGCAGACGCTCAATGCAGGAGCTGCCATGACACTCACTGGTCATTTAAAAATAAATGGCACCATGGACCTGGCACCAACAAACCAATACTCGGCTTTGTCCAAGTGGGACACAGGCCCCGCCACCACCCTGGAGCAACACCCCACCAAATTGCAGCCAACGCTGCCAAGACCCCATGGCGCAAAATGCAGCCCACAGCCCAACCCAGCCCAGAAACGGTGGCTGTGGGCGCCGGGTAATGACGTCACGTAGCAACGCCCGGCCTCCTCTCCCTAGTGCCTAGCCTCCTTGCAGTTTCTTCAGCCCAGGAACACAACTTGCTTTATAGCCAGGTGGAAACATTTTACAGTTCAACCAAAGTTTGTGAAGCATTTTCTCGTGCCTCATCTCATTTGATCCTCACAGAAGTTCTGCAGTAGGTACATAGGAGACTCAGTAGAATCCTATTTTCTTTTCATTAGCAAGACAACAGAGATTTAGAAAGCTTAGAAACTTGACCTGACTGAAAAGAAGTAAGAAATGGTGGACCTTGAAAATGACTTCAGGTTTTCTCACTGCTCAGAATAAACACTGCTGCAGTTAAATATTTTACCCTTTGTTCTCCCTGCGTGATCTACAATAATAATCTGCTTTGTGTTGACATTTACTGCTGTGTTGCTGACAATTATCTGAAAGAGAAGTTGGGGTGCTTCACTGGCCTAGTTTAGCTAAATCAGAAAGCAGGTCTAATTAAGCAAGTTTACCTATATACTAGTGGCCTGATGCACAAAATTCATGCACGGGTAGGGTCCCTAGACCTGGCCAGTGATCAGGGCCAATCTGTGGGGCGACCAGCAGGACAATCGGGGTCCCCACTTGCACCCACCTTGGCCTGGTGTGGCCCACTCACCTGCTCCACCATCCCGCCGCAGTCCCACTCTTGTCGGGGCTCATCGGGGCCAGCAGCACCTCCACTGCCGCCCACTGCCAGCGCTGCATTGCCGACACCCACCATGTTACACGCCACCCCTTGGTGGTCAGCGCACATCTATTTCCCGGTTGGTTGAACTCCTGCCTGTGGAGACAATTTGCATATTAGCCTTTTATTATATAGGATATAAAAGGCTAAGGTGACTCTTGCAAGCATGGTACATATAAAAGCTCTCACTGGTGCAAATCACACGTGTGTGTTTTCTATTTGTCATTGTCGATTGTGAATTTGATTGACACTTCTATTATAGAGAAAGGGCAAATAGCAATATTAAAATATTTCTTCTAATTAATTTCCTTTCAATGTGCACAAATCCGTGCACCAGGATACTAGTTTACTAATAGTGTAACCTTGAACAACTCATATATACTTCTCCAGGCCTCAGTTTCCTCTATAAAGTAGGGAAAGTAATCATAGTTTTTATTCCATGTAAAGGGAATCCATGTATATCTCTTAATATCTTGCCTGGCACATAGAGAATAGTTAGAAGTGTTACTTATTACTTAGGAAAAAAGAGAATTATAAAAGACACTTCAAGAGCATCTCAATCCTTGATTATAGATAATGCATACAGCTGAGAGAGGGATCAAAGGCACTTTATTGGATTTCAAATGATATACAAATAATTGGTATTAAATGTTTAATACATGTCAAGTTTGAAGGTGATAAAACAGGAATGATTAAAGAAAAGAGAGGATAAGAGAATCAGAGGAAAAGAAAAAAGGATTAGCTGAATAATGTTGCTATTTTAGGAACTCGAATACTAAGGTATCTGGGAGCAGCCTTGTGTATTTAACTTAAAAGGAAAAAAACAAAAACCTCCACTCATCAAAAACAAGCAAATAAGTATACAAAAACAAAACAAAAAACCCTGGCCTATTGGTTAATAAAGTAGTGGCATTAAGTTTCATAAGGTATTAATTTGTGTAGTATATAAAACATTTCCTATAAATCTAATTTTTAACATCAAAAGGTTAAAAGCACTTAATTATATAATACCTTTATCTCTACTATAGGTTAGGAAAAAAACAACAAAAGATAGGACAGCAGTATTATTACCATCATCAACATTATTTTAAAGGGCCTGAGTGATCATATAATAGACTAGAAACACTACTCTGTGGAGTCCTAGGATGCCTAGGAGTAGGGCAGGGGAGGGGTGGGGGACCCATAGATGCCTCCTTAAACTAAAGAACATATTTTATTTTCTGTACATATTGGTCTTCTGAATGTAATTTTTGCTGAAATAAAGACTACAATGGCCAAAATACATTTGAAAACCACTGAGTAGCCTAATCTTTCCAAGAATATCTCAGACATGTAATCACGTTACCAGAAAGGGGACCTGGCCCTGAGCGGGTCTGCCTAGGGGCGGGCTGGTAGTGTGTGGGTTCTGGACTTCATGCAGGAAAGATTTCACACCGCGAGTCCAGGTGATTTTCAGAGGACAGTTATTAAAGCTGGGGACAGTGAAACAAGGAAGGGCCTAGGATAGAAGAAGCAACAGGAGAGGGACTCGGTGGGGAAGTGAGCCTAGGCTGGGCTGCTTTGGCTCACTAATAAGTCAGAGAAAAGGGGGACAGAGTCAGGGGGTTACTGCCTATTGCTCCCTGGTTGCAAGCCTTGTGGGGTTCCTTAGAGTTTAGGAGATACATGCCTGTGGGGGAAGTAGAGAGGGCTGGGAGAGGCACCCAGGTGCTCCTGGGAGGGAGAGCATGCCCTGGGACTTTGCATGTTTTAAAGTCTGGGGGTTTATGAGAGAATCTCAGTAGAATATTCATCAGTTTTATGCTGGTGCCAAAATAAGATTTATTTCCTTAACTTCATCTGTCCTTGGGTACAGTTGGGACAAATGGCATTAATTGGATTTCTATCTGTCTCCCCGATTAGGGTGATTTAGGCTATTTACCTCTGGTTGGGGAGGAGACATGCAAACCATTTACTCTTAAGTGTCTTTGGTTTAGGGGCAATAAGATTATGGGTTTTACTAGATGGCTATAAACTGCTTGTTTAACTACCTGCCTCAGTTTCCTTGTGCTGCTTGTCTGGGCTTAGTAGCTCATCTCAGTCATAGCCCCTTCCAGAATGTGGGGAGCTCACCTCTCACAAGAGGAAGTCAGCTCTGTTACTGGGCAGTTTCCAGTTGATACAGAGTCCTCCTACCTTGATACCAGGGGATATTGTTAGTTCTGAGGTCATTATTGTCTGTAAATAACGTTAAATTTCAACTTTTAAGTATCCATGACATTTTTAGTTTCACTCTTTTCTTACAGCTGAAGGAGTTTAAACTGTGTATACTAATTACCATACATAATCAAAGGATGGATGGAGTCACAACTCCAAGATATCAAGAAAAAGCCTTAGGTATTAGGATATTTTAGTTGAAGAATTATATAGTGAATAGACAGTTATACTAAACATGTCTAAGTACTCCTTTTGGAATATACTTCTAATAACGGAAAGATGTTTGCTTTCTGATTCCAAGGATTTATTGCTTGAAATTGGCTTTCTGATTTAGTTAGCCTCCCACGGCTTAGGTTAAAATATCTTTGAAAAGCTTATATGGCACTGAGAGTCTGCTTCAAATTGTCAGAAAATTGTTACTGTACAAACAACTTTTTTCTTTTTTGTCTCTCTCCAGCTACATTATTGAACAAGGAGTGTGTTACTTGGTTTTGAGTGAAGCTAACTTCCCTAAGAAGTTGGCTTTTGCCTTCCTAGAAGATTTACATTCAGAGTTTGATGAACAGTATGGAAAGAAGGTGCCCACTGTGTCTAGACCTTATTGCTTTATTGAGTTTGGTAAGTTTTTGTTCCTCACCTTTCTATCAAGGGAGCAAAGAATATGGAAAAGCTATTTGTTATGCTGACGATTTTCACATAATTTTACTGAAGTTTTGGATTCTGCCTCTTTCATTCCACCTCTTTTTGTCCTTTTAAATGAATGGGCCTTTCTTCTTATAAGTAATTTTTGCTAGTCTTTTGACCTTTTCCCCATAGAACTTGTTGCCCTTTGCCCTTTTTGGTTATTTGATTTGATTCTTCATTAGGTCAAGTCTACCTAATCCTATATAATAAAGAGGTAATATGCAAATTGACCCTCATGTCCTCATGTCACAAGATGGCCACCCCCATGTTGTCATAAGATGGCTGGCAGGGGAGGGCTATTAGGTGGGGGACCAGGCCTGCAGGGGAGGGCAGTTGGGGCGATCAGGCCGGCAGGGGAGCAGTTAGGTGTCAATCAGGCTGGCAGGGGCGTGGTTAGGGGGTGATTGGGCTGGCAAGCTGAAGTGGTTAGGGGCAATCAGGCTGGCAGGCAGAGTGGTTAGGAGCCAGTAGTCCCGGATTGTGAAAGGGATGTCCGACTGCCGGTTTAGGTCCGATCTCTGTTGGATCGGGCCTAAACTGGCAGTTGGACATCCCCCGAGGGGTCCCGGATTGGAGAGGGTGCAGGCTGGGGTATGAGGAACCCCAGCCCCGTCCCCCCCCCCCCCCCCCCCCCCCGCATGGATTTCATGCACCGGGCCTCTAGTTGGTATATAATAGCCAAGTTCTTTTCCCAAGCAGACACATACATACACACTCACAGTAAGGCTCATTTTATGGAGGTCAGAATTTGGAAATCAGCAAGATTTTGGGTGTTTTGTTTCTTTTAGAAAAATAAGATTCTCTAATTTTAAAGAAAAGTACCAGAAGATAGATGGCATTGGGGGATAACATTTACTACATGCTGAAGTAGTGAGTATGGGTGTTGATATTTGTATAAGAATTATAGACTCAGCATTGCTCAGCCTCGTTAAAGTATCTGATGGTAGTAGATCAAAGGAAATGTCCTAGTACAGCAAGTAGAAAAAGTAAGAAGGCATACCTATGGTCAGCCTTCACTGCTGACATTTTTAGTTAAAAGAAAGAAATTGGTTTTTACTATCTCTATATTTCTGAAGTGTTTCAAGTTTTCTAGATAAGGACGTCAACTTGTTTTTTAGAAATAAATAAAGTTTATCAAAATACTCCAGTGTTTTATAACTCTCCAAGAGCTGATTGCTTTAATGTATGTGATTTTTAATTTTATGTTTGTAGACAATAGCAGTCTAGTAAACCAAGAAGAAAAATAAGACTGCTTTGTCAAGGTCACACAGGAAATAATTGGTACACTCAAGTTAGGTTAAAGGATTATAGACAGAGACATGAACGGGTTATAGGTGTACTGCAAGGTACTGGGGCGCATAACACAGTAATTGTTACCATCCCCAGGCCCAAAGGAATGAGAAAAAGAAGCAGTTTCTGGATTGGGGAAGGAGAAAATTCATAGAGAAGGCCAGCTCCAGTGTAAGTTGGTGGAGGGACATTGCCAGCCCAAGGTGACTTTTCAGGGAGGAGCTAAAGGATTAAATACCCTGATGTTACTGTTTGCTCTTCTTTCCTACTCTTGGGGCTCCCTCTTTGGCTCAAAGCTATGGGGTAAGGAGCCCATTGATGTAGTCCACGTAGGTCAACTTCCCAAGGCAAAAGCAGGGTGCAGAAGAGGCAAATGAGAGGTATCCAGCACAAATAGCTTAAGATTTTTGTTAAATGTTGAGATGTAATCTTTAATAATAAGTCATTCTTCTATAGTTCTAAGAAATATAGACATGGCCTAAACACAAATGAAGCTGCAGTTTTATAGTGTTATTTGGGAAATTCCCTAATACATGTCTGCTTTACCCGAAGTTTACGAACAGAGTGAAATTGGGATGAATGTTAAAGAAAATACTTTATCACTCTTTTGCCATGTTTGGCTATAAAAATGCTAGATTGTTGCCAGCCTTTTTTTTTTTTTTTTTAGGAAATGTGTCATGTTAAGTAATGAAACCGTAAGAGTCTCATAATACAGTTGGAAAATGTCTGCTTTCAGGAAAGGCTTACTGTAGTGAGTCTTAATTTCTCTAAGGATCCTGAAAGTAGCTACTTCTAATTTGCACTTTGAAGGTGTGCAAAGGACATTTCTCCTGCATAGTCATCTAATTATATCTTTACATTTTACAAATGAAGAAATCAAAACTCCCCTTTTGATACTCATTCAATAGCTTGGTTAAGCATGGTTAGTAGCAATCCAGCACTAAACTCAGAACTCCCTAAACCAGTGATGGCGAACCTTTTGAGCTCAGCATGTCAGCATTTTGAAAAACCCTAACTTAACTCTGGTGCTGTGTCACATATAGAAATTTTTTGATATTTGCAACCATAGTAAAACAAAGATTTATATTTTTGATATTTATTTTATATATTTAAATGCCATTTAACAAAGAAAAATCAACCAAAAAAATGAGTTCGTGTGTCACCTCTGACACGCGTGTCATAGGTTCGCCATCACTGCCCTAAACCCTATTTCAGTATTTTGATGGACATGAAAGAAGTTGTTTATGGTCATTTTTCTCCATCATTCTAGAGACCTACATTCAGAAAACCAAGAAGCTATACACTGACAGTCGTGCTCGGAGAAACCTAGGCTCCATCAACACTGAACTGCAAGACGTGCAGAGGCTCATGGTGGCCAATATCGAAGAAGTGTTACAACGAGGAGAAGCACTCTCAGGTAGTAGCTACAAGTCATATAAGTCTTATGAAGAGATGGTTCTCATTCCAGAGGCAAGGATAGCTTATATTAGTGTCACTTTCATGCTGTCAGAGTCTATGGAGCACTGTAAGACTTCATTTCTCAGAAACAGATGACATTATAAAGCTTCCACTATGATATTATTTTGTTAGCATGATTAGATTTGTTGAGTTGAAACAATAAGGGTCTCATTCCATATCAGAAGCAATTACTATTTCCAAGATATTTACAAAGTTACGTAAATATTTACAGAAACACTTACATAAGTGAGCAGAAATGAAAAGAAGAATGAGAAGAAATTGTCAATTGCTGTGGTTTCCTGAGTAGCCACTTGGGGAGATTTTACTGCTGCCCGATCAAATGTTATATAATCCTCTGCTGAAAACTTTAAAAACTCTGACTGTAAGATGAGATTTAGTCTGGTCTCAACTTACTTTTAATTAATTCAGTCATTATTATTGTGTACTTGTAATGTGCAAAAGCATTGTGTCCTCTATACTGGGAGGTAAGGAGATTACAAACAACTCTCCTTCTCCCTAGTTACAAACATTCTGACTCAGTCAGGTCATCCTGGACCTGTTCTTTAAATCTAGGTAGGAACTACCTCTATGAAGAAGCCTTTGCTGCCCTGGCCAGTGTGGCTCAGTTGGTTGCATGTCAGCCCATGCAGCAAGAGGTTGTTGGTTAAATTCCTGGTCAGGCCGCAGGCTCTATCCCCAGTAGGGGGCATGCCAGAGGCCGCCTCTCATCAATGTTTCTCCCTCTCCCTTCCTCTCTCCCTCTAAAATCAATACAAACATATTTAAATAAATAAGCCTTTTCTGATCCTTATAGTCCATATCACATTAAATTCTTTAAAGCACTTAGCTACATATGGTGTTTTTTAGCACATAAATTCTTTAAAGCACTTAGCTACATATGGTGCTTAACCAACACCATATGGTGTTTGTGTATATGTGTGTATGTACTTATTTATGAAAATTTCCTGAAATATATATGTTGGTATTAATAAATATATTTATACTTCATATATTTATTAATACTAAATATGTATTTATATTTAATGTTTAAATGTTACTTAAGTATTTAAATGTTACCTATGTTTAATGTGGACATGTACTCTTTAAAGGTAGTGCTTATGTTTTATGTCTATTTCATATATTTCTTTTATGTTTCTCATAGTAATGATCACAAATAGATGTCTTAAGAATATTTCTTGAACTTAACCTTTCTACATATTCATGAATAAATTTTATTATATATTGCAAATTTTAACCTTTATGTTACTAGGAAGCAGTTGTCCAAGCATATAGCTTCACACTGTAATTTTAAGTGAGTCTGTGTATATTTTTATCATAACAGACTTACAGTTTCTACTTGTGATAAAGTAGACCACAGGAACTTTTTAAAAATCCAAAATACATATATTGGTGAGTTCATCAGAAATGTAAAGAATTCTCTCCTACTGCTTTGCTGGCTGCTACAAAGCTGAGATGCTGATTGAAAAAGAAGTAACTTCATCTGATTGGGAAAATAAGAAACATTGTCAGAATTTTATAGATGATATAAGAAACAAACATCAATGGAACACTTTGTGCTAGACAAGATGGTAGGGGGACTACATATATTTTATTTATTCTTTAGAGCAATCCCAGGTAAAGTGGGTGGTGTCAAACCAGTTTTATAGATAAAGAAGCAGAGACTCAGAAAGGTTGAGTAGCTTCCTAAAAGCCACACTGCTTTTTTGTTGGCCCACGGAGTTGTCCATTTTCATTGTATGATAGTTTTAAATAGACATATAGGCAATGAGAGCTATAAAAATGTAGAAGGAAGTAGATAAATGTGAACTGAGCAGGAAGGATTCTTGAAATTTGATACATCCAGAAGGAGTGCAGAGTGGTATTTTAAGAGGAAGAAAAACCATTTCTGAATGGATCATATTTGAAGGACAATGAAAAAATAAGCCTACCTCATATGTTTTCTTTCTCTTTAAGCTTATTCATAAGAAGAATCCATCTTTTATGTCTTCTTCTCTAATTTTTAAAGTTGTATAGCTAGTCTACTTTGCATTTAAGACCCAATAATAGTTCCTGTGAGTTCTTTCAGCAAGACCAAATTATGACCTTTTTTACTGCCTACATATACCTATTTCTCTTAAGTCATAGGTTTTGTCTTTTCATTCAAAGGTGTCACTGTAAATTTCAAAAATATAGGGATCAAAAAACATGTTTTGGCCATCATTGTATCCTCTAGCACTTCACATGGTGTCTTCTCATATTGGCTAAATGACTTCTCCAAGCAGTAGCTTTGTCTTAATGACATCATGTGCTTCTAAATGTTCTGGTGCAGAGGAATTCACTTAACTATTACTTATTTCATATGACCTAGTACTTGTTCCTCTGTCCAGTTAGTCTCAGCAGACTTAGATTCATTTAGCAAATATTTATTTATTGCGCACTGACTATATATGCCAGACTCTGTCCTAGTTACTGGGAATATAGCAAAATAAACACAGTAGTTAAAAACCTCTGTCCAATGAGTTGTGCACTCTAGTAGACTGCATTGTCATGGTTATTTCTCATCCTGTAACTTCTTTTTTTTACATGACTAGGTGTTTTTCTTACAGGACAAGTTCTTACAGGACAAGTTGATAATTTAGAAGTAGCTGTCATGCCTGTGCTATTAAGTAATGCCACATTTCTCAATCAACTCCAAATATTCCAGAAGCATTCTCTGAGGAAGAACAAACATTCAGATTGCAAAATAGTTTTTCAAAAACTTAAAGAAGTAAAAAGTTTGATCAGAATTCATTTATGTCAAATTGAGAGTTTGTTTTTATTATTAAAATATGCCATATATTTAGTCCAGTCTAGCTTTTATCTATCTGGCTATTTCTCTAATTGCTCAGTTAACAATTATAAGAAGATAATGACATTACAAATGTCATTTACTTGTAGGGAAAAGAAATGTTGCAAAATATTCTAAAAAGCTTAATTTAGTAGATATTGGTGGTTTTCTAGCACCTATAAGAGTCTCTACAGTGTGGAGAATCTTAGACATTTGGCAGCATTCATCATTGAGATATAGCTTAATACTCAATGGCTGGTTCATTGGATTTCCTGGTTATCTGAATGTTATTTTACATGGATTATTATTTTTCAAACTATGAGGGAATATAATTTAGACCATTGAAAGATTATGGAAATGCTTAACGTCGGCTAACATTTCTCAGATGTTTACCGTATGCAGGCATTTGCTCACTTTACAGGCATTGGTGTGTACCTATAAGCCTATGATATAGTTTCTGTTATCCCCAATACATAGATGATGAAACCAGGGCTTTAGTGAGGCGGAGTTACATGGCTGATGCATCTGAAATTTGACCAAAGAGTCAGAGGCCAGAGCCTGCACTCCTAACCACTTCACTATGCAGCCTCAAGAATTTGAACATAACTTGGTCTGATCATTTTAAAATGCATTGTAGATTTTTCAGTGCTTTAGGATCATGAATTAATCAGTACAGGTAACCTTACCCTTAAAATAAAAATGATCATTTAAGCATCGTGGTTGTTTGGTATAGTGCCACTCCTTTTGGTTATTTTTATGACTTCATACGTTTGATAAAATACTTCCATGGACTAATTAGTGTTTTCCTTTCTTCTTCTTTGACAGCATTGGATTCAAAGGCTAACAATTTGTCCAGTCTGTCTAAGAAATACCGCCAAGACGCGAAGTACTTGAACATGCGGTCCACTTACGCCAAACTTGCAGCAGTGGCTGTGTTTTTCATCATGTTGATAGTGTATGTGCGATTCTGGTGGCTGTGAAGTAGTGAGCCCGGTCACTGGCAAGGGAGAACCTAGACCCCAGCAGGTGTGTGTTTTCAGGAAGCTGAGCTCACAGAGATGTGTGTTAGAATCCAAGTGGAACTTCTGCCTTTAAGGACCTTGCAAGAAAAGACAAATCCTGAAAATGAAAGGTTACACCTCATTTAATGAAGCTTAACCCTATGGGGAAAGTCTCTTTTGGGGGCAGAGGCTTTCTCTGGGTGCTAAGCTGTATATGTTAGGGAACAGTAGATTGTTTTATTTTGGGTATTTTTCCCCTCCCAGTGTTTTACATTTTTAAAACAGCACTGACTGGGGCATTCATTCTTTAACGGAGCCATCAGTGAGATTTAACTAAACCAACCTGTGCTAGCAACAGGCTGAAATTCCTGCAGAGAAGGCAGCCCTCTGGGAAGTTCTTTGACTCTATCTGATCAACATTCCTTTTGTTGGTGACATTTGTGATTTTCAGTAATCTGAGTTTCCGATGGCCTTTTAAATAAGACTCCAGTGTGTGAAGGTTAATTGCTGTGCAGCAAAGATCTTGTCTATTGGCCCCTGTAGGAAGTTAACCTTTGTTATTTTCCTTTTATATTTTGCTTATTGCACAATTGCTTTAGGGTTAAACGAATTATATTAAGATGCCTTGAAATTCTATTATAGCACTCCTTGATTAAGAAGCTAAAATGTTTTCTGTCATTTATTCCTTAAAAGACTTAAATTAGTTTGGGACATTCTTAATTTTATTTTTCAACGTCTGGTTTATATGAAGAGTGAGGATAGCATACATGTAGTCAGAGGCCCCTGACTTGAGGAGAAGAAAGGCCCAGTTCCTAACTATAGCTTTGCCCTGCCCCTTTCTCACTGTCTCCACTACAGTCTTCCCCACTCTCTCCCTCTTGTCACAGTTGGCTGATATTTAAAAAATTATTCTGTGCCCAATAGTTTCATGTCCCATAGGCATCTTCTCAGGACAGTCTCAAATTTCAAAATGGAGAATGTTCAGTTTTGTGGTTAATTAAATTTAAAGTTTTGCAGAGTGACTATTCAAACTACTAAATACATTTATCTGAGAAAGTCTGAGGGCACCTCACACCTGCGTAAGTTTATATAAATTCTCTGCGAATGACCTAGAGCTAGGCAACTCATTTATAGTGACTTCTAGTAACAAATAAAAGTACCTATGATGTTTCCCCTTTTTGCTCAGGGATAATGGGGAGTTTCTTTTACCTTCTGAGATTGAATTTTCTAAATGGGAGAATAGGTCTTTTAAATATTGTCACAAGGGCCTGCAATATAACCTATAACTCCTACAAATACTGCAAATATTTCTTTAAATTGTACAGGAAAATGAGCCATCTTCTTACCTCTTAACATCTTCAGAAAGAACTTTAACCAGTGAGCAATTTTATAACTGTGGGCTCATCAAAGCTACTGTCTTGATTCCTGATAGAGAAAAATAATTCTATTTCTTTATAACAAGGCGAGGAGAAATGCTTATTTTATTCCTGATAATTTACAGAACTAGAATACATTTTTTTCTTTCCATTTTGGACCTACATCTGCCAATTGGAGTTTTGTGCATGAAATATGAAGTTACTTTTTATAGAGAATAAGTGCTTTTAAGTCTCCAAAGGGCTTGTCCCTAGGTAATGATGTTGGTAATAAAAGCCTGTGAAAGGCTGAAAACTAAGTAGAGGCACCGTAGCATTTGGTGCTTCTGTAGGAGTGGAGAGTGGCAGCTCGCTGTTGAGAGTTGCATGCTGTAACCAAGTGGTCAGCAGTGAAATAAATACTTCTAGAATGTTCCCTTCAGCGTGAAGTGTTGTTACCTAGTTTATTTATGTCCCTATCACCTTCTAGCTATTTTTCTACATAAACTCAGTGGGTTAAAAAATGAGAAGGGGGATTATGGAATGACAAATAAAGGAATAAGAGAATGGTTTAAGATTATGATGGTAGAAAAAGAACAAGACTGTCATAATATGGCTCCTACTTCTGCTCTTTATTAGAGGTGGTGGGAAGGGAAGATCTGACTAGATGAAATGTATCAGCAACCAAACAGCCTTCTAGAATAGAATGTGTAATTAGTGTGCAGTGTTATTGGGGCCACATTGAGAATAGATACTGAATTCTAGACAGAGTCAGTGGCTTATACAGAGTCATGAGTTAAAAGAATAAGGCACATTTTGGGGATTGTAGTTAGTTTGGTTCCATGGACCTGGTAGGGTAAGTGTAGGCAATGGGGACTTAAGGAAGAAGAGCTAGACTGGCCCACTGTCATAAAGGGGCAAGAGATGGCATCAGGTTTGTAGTTTCAAATGATCATTCTGGCCATAGTGTAAAAGATACATTAGAGAGGGATAAGCCTAGAACTAGGAAGAGGAAACTAAGGCGCCACCCAAGTTGGAATGAGACCTAGGAGACATGTTTCAAATGATTTTCAAGAAAGGAGTTATCCCAGGTACCAAATAAATAGTAACTCATATTTACATAATGCTTTCTTAGTTGGGAGCTCATTGAATTCTCCCATTGACATTTTGAAGTAAGTACTGTTCACATAACATGAATAAAGACACTTTTTACTAAGGATACCATTCTGAGGCAGAGAGAGTTAATTTGTGCGAGGCTGGAGAGCTAGAAAGTGATGGGCTAAGCTTTGAACTCGGCAGTTTGGCTCCAGAGTCCGCTTCTCTTCATTATACTATACCACCAAGTGGACAAATAAGTACCAAAAATGTATTTTGAATTTAGCAATTAGGAACTTAATCATAGAGACAGAAGTCAAATTGCAGTGGGTTGAAGATTGTGTGAATTACTAGGAAGTAAAGATGTGGAATTACTCTTAAAAGTAGCTTTTCTGGCTGTTGTGACACTGAACTTCCCAAGATGCTTATTAAACTAAGAAATCTCACAAATGTTAAAAAATATTTGGCATTGTACATACATCTGCTCATTTAAATGTCTAACTGGTTCTTACGCTATGTGGAAAGCCTTTGAAAATTTGATGAAAGGTATGTGCCTTTACCCAGAAAAAAACGCATGCGTATGTGTATACCAAGGATCACATACTATGTCAGGGAATTCTCAGGACTCCTGAAGCCTGCTGTAACCCAGTGGCCCATGGTCCCCCAGTTAAGAACCCCAGACATGCAGGAAGTGGAAGTCAAAGGTAAGTACCCAGAAGCTTTGAAAACTGTCCCGCTCTGGTGATTGGAAGAATTCTATAGTTTGAACTAACTTAGTGGATGAGATGCATTCTTGAAAGGTTGTATACCAAACAAAATTCTATCAATATTTTTTTGTAGTACATTTAGGGATCTGGTTGTACAGAAAAAAATTTTTTGGCCCTAGCTGGTTTGGCTCAGTGGATAGAGCATTGGCCTGTGGACTGAAGGGTCCCTGGTTCAATTCCAGTCAAGGGCACATGCCCACGTTGTGGGCTCGATCCCCATAGGGGACGTGCAGGAGGCAGCCGGTCAATGATTCTCTCTCAGCGTTGATGTTTCTATCTCCCTCTCCCTTCCTCTCTGAAATCAATAAAAATATATTAAAAAAAAATTTTTGGTCTCAGTTCCACAAAATCACATTTAAGGATCTTATCTTTTATATTTTCTACTTTTTATCAGGACGTCTAGCAAAAGCAAGTTAAGACAAATGGATAATTACTTCTGCACCCACAGTATTTAATAATACATGTATAAGAAAACATCTCATAATTTAATTTCCCATCCCATTGGGGTTTTTTTTATGACTAAAGGCTTGAATGTTGGTGGCCACACAGTTAAGGCTTTTTGGTTAGTGTATTTAGCAAAACTGACCGAATCCTCCCTGGGTGTCTTTTCAAACAGCTCAGCAAAAAGGCAAAGAGCAGTGGGTGTATAGGTGTTACTACTATAATTGCAAATTCACTGATTGGACCAAATAGCTTGTACAGTGAAGGTCCCGAAAGAAAATTTGTAGCATATGTTTCATAGTTTGATATAGAATGGGCAAATTGAGGCTCACATCCTATTCATTACAGAGAAGGTTGATCCAAAAGTAGAAAAGTATCTTGAGCAGTTATAAGTGCTGTAACTGAATCCATGTTTTAGATTAGAAAATTTGTTAGAAATTTGACTTTCATATAGATACTAATCAAGACATCTAATGTTTTCCCCATAACCTTCATTTATTGAGCACTACATATTAGGCATGTTACATGTATCATTACAATCCTCATAACCATTTTTTCCAGCTTGCCCAAGGCTGCGTAGCATGTTGAAGTACTTAGATTCAACTCCCAGACTCCTAGACACCTACCCAGTAGTGTAATACTCCTGAATAATCACGCAGACGTGTTCATTTTAAGCACTTGGCATTTCACTTTGTCCTGTCAATTTATTTGCTTTTTGGGGGAGAAGGTATATATTTTTTAACAATTTCATTGTATTATTCCATTCTCTTTTTAGTTTAGTTTTTTTTTTTTTTTTTTGGTCATTCTGTATTCCTTTTTAATGTTTTTTTGCTCTTGAGTTCTTATTTGCCCTTTCTTATCCTTGGTTTGACTTTTTCATTAGATCTCATTGTCAATTCAACATTTTTCCACATCTGATTCACTTATGGATTAGCAAAATGATTTTTTTAAATCCTCACTGGAGGATGTGTTTATTGATTTTTAGAGAAATAGAGAAAGAGAAACATTGATGTAAGAGAAAAACGTTGATCGGTTGCCTCCCATACATGCCCCAACCTACGTGTGTGCCTTGGCCAGGAATCGAACCCAAAACCTTTTGGTATACAGTACGATACTCCAACCAACTGAGCCACCTGACCAGTGTGCAAAATGATTTTTAAAAGTAAGTCTTCCCTTCCTTTTGCCCATTTTCTCTTTTCCTCACTTCTTTTATCCCTTCGCATTTTACATAATTTCCCTAGATGCTGTTTCTACTGAGGAGTCAATGTAATCCTTCAACTTTGCTCTATCAAAATCAACTGTTATAGCCTGGCGGCCATGGCTCAATGGTTGAGCATCGACCTATGAGGTCACAGTCCGGTTCCAGGTTAGGGCACAAGCCTGGGTTGTGGGCTCAATACCCCGTAGAGGCATGCAGGAGATCAATGATTCTTATCATTGATGTTTCCATCTCTCCTCCCATCCTCTTTGAAATCATTAAAAATATTTTTTTTAAAAAAATCAACTGTTATACTTACTCTTTATTTTTAGACCTTCATTCATCTAACCTTTTATTGATTTTATAATATACTATGTTCTCTTATTAACGCAGATATGCCCCTGCTTTAAGGAGTCCCTTTATAAAAAAATTCAAACATTGCAAGAAATCTAAGAACAAGCTCCACTAGCTTGCCATTTGTATTTAGGACTTCAGCTCTTGTATTATTGGTAACTCTGAAGTATACCTGTCTACCCTCAAACTTGAGGTTCAGACCCAATTTTGTTGCTGCTTATTGGAGGTCTGTGTTTTAATATTCCACAAATATGTAATTGCATCTAAAACATTTTATTACCTTCACTTCATTATCAAAGGTAAAACCTTACCTGTGCTTCCTACTATTGTTCCTTTTTTCTTTGGCATCACCTGCCACCCCTTTACCTGAGCAAATCATGAACTGCATTTGATGCCTGTGTTTTTGCTTTCCACCTCTCAACTGTTAAAAAAAAGTCTGTTTTTAATAACCACCAAATGTTTCAGACGTCATTTCCTTTCCCTGGGCCTTAGATTCAAGCTCTCATGAACTTTACCTTGGACTCATGCAGTAACCTCCTTACTACTTTCCTTACGCAGGTCTCTTTTTCAACCCAGTGCTGCCATGTGAGTAACATAAATTTTCTTAAAAAGTTCATCACAGAACAAAAATAGATGGATCTAGAGACAAATGGTAGCAGCGGGGGGAGGGGGAGCGGGTAGAGAGCAACTAAAGGACTTGTATGCATGCATATTAGCGTAACCAATGGACACAGACACTGGGGCGGTGGGGGCTTGCCGGGGTGGGAGTGGCTTGGGGGGGGTTGTCAATTAGGGGAAAAGAAGACATGTAAAACTTTAGACAAAAAAAAAAAAGCTTATAACCTATAAAAAAAAAAAGTTGATCACACCCTGTTTTCTATAGAATAAAAGGTCATGTACTGCAGGCTGCCTCCCACAAGCTGAGTGCTTTGTAGCACTCCTGACTCACCTGCCACTCCCACCACCTCTGTTTGAGCCTGACCAAGTTCTCTGTTTTAACCAGTCAAGCACTTTACCGTGTGCCTTAGCTCAGTGGTACCTTCTCTCTAGAACATCCTTTTTGTAGACCTTACCCCCAGCCTTTTCCCTTTCAATCTGCTAAAGCTCTGCCTACCAGTTTCAAAGAGCAGTCATTGTGTGCTTGTTTTTCTCCTTGGCTGTGTAGACCATATGAGGTCCCTGAGGTACAGACCAATTGTAATTCATGGTTTGGAATCCTTGGCACTCGGAACAATGGCTGATGTTAGAGGCACTCGGCAATATTTGCAGAATGAGTACGTTGTCTTTAAAAAGTTCATGCCCAGCCCTGACAGGTTTGGCTCAGTGGCTAGAAGAGCGTCGGCCTGCGGACCGAAGGGTCCCAGGTTCGATTCTGGTCAGGGGCATGTACCTTGGTTGCGGGCACATACCCAGTGGGGAGTGTGCAGGAGGCAGCTGATCAATGTTTCTCTCTCATGGATGTTTCTAACTCTCTATCCCTCTCCCTCTCTGTAAAAAAATCAATAAAATATATATTGTTAAAAAAGTTCATGCCCAAGTTTTCTGGAACCAGGCTGTTCTTAAGTCATGGATATACACGTAATTTGAATGAAAG